TACTATTAATAGTAACACTGATACTATTTATAGTAATGCTGATACTGATGCTACATGTATTTATAGTATGAACTAAGACGAATGCCATTGTAGTAAATGGTACTGTTTGTAGTAGTATTGATGCTACAATAATGACTCTATACAATGACTCTGATAGTAAGCTCAAAAATTTATTCAAACAGACATACTTCCTACTGGGCTTGCTTTGGCTTGTACACTTAATATACTTTTTTGAAATAATAGAATAAGAAATAAAACAGTTAAACATTTCAACTAGTCAATCAACTATTTTGATGGACAATATTTATCTCTAATGTAACTAGCAATAGATTTCTCTTCTATTGTATCCAGTGCTGTAGCTAATGATGACCAACTGGGACCTCCTTTCTCTCTCACTTTATCTTCTCCTCTTAACCAGGCAGACATACACCGTATCAGACATGGCTTACATTTTCCATGGTCCATCTTTATACCATTTAGTCTAGGCTCGTATAATCCTAAGTGAAGTCCAAACTCATACCATTTAGTACAATCCAATTGATTGAGTATTGTTAGCTCTTCAATGACACTATCAAGATCTTTAAAATCTTAATAAAAATAATAATTGATAATGTGTACAGTCTACACTCCCACTATTTGAAAATTATGATAACACATTATTATAACATACCTAGCTTTATTGTATTCAATGGTGTCTTGAATTCTTCAGTTATTTCAATCACTTCCTATACAATAATGATAATAATAACTGATAGTTTTCACTGTGCTTGTTTATCAAGGTGATATACATGTACAACAGTACAGTAGTATATTGCTGAAAGGTGAGTTTAACAAATGTGCAAGTATATATTGTTAGTATATAGTAGAAGCAACACATTGGCAACAACAAAGACTGAGTAATTTGAAATTACTTTTCAGATAGGATCTTTTGATTGTCAGTGCTTCTATTAATGTATCAAACAGTTTGTGTGTTGGTTCTTACCTTAATATCACGTCCTCCTAATAGTGACAGGTTTATAATATCTGATAATACATGTAGTTCATCAGGTAGGATCTCGTTCAATTCTGTATGTCTAGTACCAGTGATAACAAGAAATGGTCGTTTTTCAACTACTGCTGAGAGTACAGCTTTTACACTATACACTGTCCTTTCTCTTGGTGTAGTCACAGGATAGGCTAGTTCTTTAGGATCAATGACTAACTCTTTTACCTCTAGACTGGAACAGGATTCTTTATAAACACTCATTACCTCTCCTATCACATCTCTTCTTAGAGACACCATATTGTCACTATAACCTTTCTCACAGGACATCATTACTAGTACACACTGGCTCTCATCCACAATCTCTACCAGTGATCCTACACCATGACCATTAAACCAATAAAGTCCATTCTTCCAAAATTTACAGTAACGATTTAACTTGTCATCTTCTTGAGGTAGAGCCTTTTTGTAAGCAAGACGTAATGAGAGGACATGGAAGTATCGAGGAGGAAAGAAATGATGTTTACTAGTACACTGTAGACACCAACCAAACTGGTACACTTGACTAGTCATCTCATCAGGTCTATCACTAGAAAAAAGACATGGAAAAAACAACAACCTTTCTCCTCTTCTTTCTGTCCCTCCCTCCTCCTCCTCTTCCACTGCTAACTGATGGAGGTTTGTCATTCTTAGGAAAGATGGATTAATTTCTTGACAGAGTTCCATGTTCTTGAGGAAACAGATCAACATGTCAGGATCATATTTAGGGAAGAGTCTAGTCAGACCAGACACACTAACAATACCAGTATTGCTAGCAATGTCAACGTGTTTTTTGAATGTCTCAGGAGCAAAGAGAATCCCATCCACTTCTGTTAATAGTATACCCTTATTCACAACAACCCATACCTTGTCTTCACTTTTAAGAACACTGATCAGACCAGTTGAGTGCAACGAATGAAGAACATCTAAGACTTCTTCTCTCTTATCTGGTATAAAGTAATCATTATTGTCCTTACCAGCAGACATTACATCAGAGAGGGTCAGTATATTCTCTTTCCTTTCCTCCAGTAGACCATACATCATGTGACAATAAAGACTCAAATTCCTTCCACTTGTACTACGAATGGACTCACAGGCACTAGACAGTTTATTAAAGAAAGAATCCACACCACTCCCACCAAGCTTACGACAATCTAAAAAGACACTATCACACCTTTCCTTTTCAATAATCTCCTGTATTTCTTCCTTTCTCCTCCTTTCAACAGGATTACTTATCTCATCCACATGACTGACTATTACAATAACATGACATTGGTGAAGAGCTTTTTGTGCTTCATTTCTGACAACTGTTAGTGACTGATGAAGCTGTTTGAGTGGTTCCTTCTCCAATATATTGACTACTATCAGGAACACACCACCAGAACCTTGTAAGAGATTCTCAATGACAGCACTGTGACTGGAGTAGTATTCGGAATGACCAGCAAAATCGTGAAGAATGATGTTACCCAGTGTCCTGTGTTTTAGTTCGTGAGGAATGATACCAGCAGTACAGGGCACTACCCCTCCAACATTTCTAAAGGAACCAAGAACAATAGAACCAGTAGCTGTGTGATTGATGACATGACTAAGAGTACTTTTACCAGCTCCAGGATTACCCACAAGGAGGACATTAACATAAGAATCAATTGGATGAGACAATTTTATATCACCAAACTTCTTAAAGACAGAAAGAGTATCAGTGTTACCTCCCTCCTTAGCTAGTTTAAATGGTGTTCTCCCCTTATTGTCTTTAGCCAATAGATTGCATTTACCAGTTGATAGTAAATATTCAACAGCTGCAGATTTACCCCAACTAGCAGCCCAGTGAAGAGGTGTCCACCCCATCCTGTCATCAGCAGCCATTGGATCATGGTTCCACTCATTGATTAGATATTTGATTACATCAGGTGAGTTCTTACTAGCTGCTATATGAAGAATTGTCTCATTGTTAGAGTCATTAACCATTGGATTACAGTGACACTCATTAATGAGATACTTTACAATATCAATGTGCTTAGCAGCTCGGTGAAGAATAGTCTCACCCCAATCGGTAGTAGCCATTGGATCACAGTGACACTCATTAATGAGATACTTTACAATATCAATGTGTCCAGCAGCACAGTAAAGAACAGTGACACCACAATTGGTAGTAGCCATTGGATCACAGTGATGATGATTGATCAAGTACTTCATGAAATCAAGTGATCCTTTATTAGCTACTTTGTGAAGAACAGTATTTCCATGCGTATCAGTAACCTTTGGATCACAGTGACACTCATCAATGAGATATCTCATCACATCAACATGATTACCTTCTGCAGCATAATGAAGACAAGTCTGATGTAAATCATCTCTTTCCTGTGGGTCACAGTGATATTTAGTGATGAGATCTTTTGTAACATCTAACCAGCCATGCCTTGAAGACAAATGAAGTAAACTAGTATTATCACACAAATAGCTTATTTTAATGTTATTTAGTTCCTTCACTAATGGTAGTAAACGAACAGCTTCTTCATGATCTTTTTTCACAAACACAACCCAACACTTGACCTCTAAAGGCATCTTGTGATCAGTTAATTAGATTCATTGATACCAGCCCACACACAGATAGTACTATACACACATTATGAAATCATTAACTGAGCTTTGAGAAAGAGAGACAGAAAATATAATAATTAAATACATGTACATGTACATGCACAGAATACTGTATTATGTCAGTCAAAAATTTTGTCAAAATTTTATTTTCTTGTTAAAATTATTTTTGTTGATAAAATTTTGTTTTATTTATTATAAATTTGCATGAAGCAAAAATTTTTGACAAATTTAATCAATTTTTGACCAATGAAAATTTGTAGCTATAGGTTAGTATTAATAATAAATTAAATTTGCTGTTGATTGTGTTCAGGAACTTTTTATGCTGAAGCAGCTCAGTTTTTATGCTTCATCATCTGTTTAATTACTATTATGACATCATGCAGGCATATATATATATATATATATATATATATATAGTACTATTAATATTGATGTGTGTCAGTAATGCTTGTTACTATTAATAGATGATAGTTATGGAAGTGACAAGAGGAAGAGCAGCAGTGAGCCCTTACCTTCTCCTCCCATTCCTCCTGATCAACTAGACGCAGCTGTCAACCTTCTCTCATCAATAATAAAGTAAATTATGATAATAATAATAATATTATATTCACTTGTTCATGTACATCAATTTTGTTAAGTTAATTTAGTTAATGGTCAAAATTGAAGAAAAAACTGTACAATATAAACTGTACAATAAATAAAAGCTTTAATAAAA